CATAGAAAGTATGTCTCTACTGGGTGGACTATCCCCGGTGCCATCATCCACCACATCCTCTCCTAGCATGTCCCACATGCAGTGTTGGTCATACACCTGCTGCAACCGCGGTTGGAATTCCTTCTTGCTTGCCTGATGAATGACAGATACACCAGCCTGAGGAGGACAATAGACTACCATATGAACCATCTACTGATAAGTTATATCTCCACCAGGACGAGCTGTTGCAGACCATATCCTGCAGCAGCTAGACACCCTTGCTTTGGATCAATCTCCCCCGCCGTCGTCTACCCATAGAGAAGGATTAAATACTGGCGAAAGTCACAAAACCCAAAAACTGCTCCGTACGGCTTTGTGATGACCCACCGGAGATTCAGCTAGCATGTGGTTCACGTGCTTTATGCCGTGAGGATTATGAAGGGTTAGCCTGGGCAAGTTTTTGTCTTCATACGTATGATGACAGTCTACACTGCACTCATGTACGGCACCCTGACATGTCATGTCCAATTTGTAGACAGGGGCTGGAAAGGCAATGCCTCTACAATTGCGGTTGACGTGCCGCTGTGTTCCTATCATGTAGGAGCCATGTAGGCTGTGACATCTGTCTACGCTGTGCCATTCAATGCAGTAACTGGGGCGGCGAGAATTGGATGCGGTGCTTCCACAGGCCACACCCAACCCGGTCCTGCCCAGTCTGTAAAGGTGGCTACTTGCCATAGGCAATGTCTGCTCCTCAAATCTTATGCAACCCACACGCTGGCTGGCCTCAGGTGCCATTCTAGAGTGGTCTGCCCCAGTTGTCACTATTTAGAAGTTAGAACCCTGTCAGAACTCCACCTCCCATTTCTTTCCTCCTCCTCTTCTCTATTACTAGCAATACATACGAATGAGCATCATTAAGAGATTAGAGGCAACAGAAAATATAAGTTGAAATCTGAGAAGAAATGAACAGGAATATACCTCCGCCTTTGCTCTGTGCAACGAACCTCCTAGTTCAACACCAATGAGTGCACATATTCACACCACATGCATGTATGAGTTCACACGAAATTCACACTGGAGACCAGAGAGATGAAGACCAGGTAGCGCAGCTTATCTTTCCAGGAAGTATTACAAGACCAATGAGAGTTCAAAATCACCAACACTCATCAGCGCGTGCCAATAGGTAACTACTTAACGGCATGAACTCTCAGGTAAGTATCTCTTTCCCTCTGCTCTTCCCTCTTATGTTTCTCTCCACCTTGTTGGTCTTCTCCCTAGCTGTGACCTCGCTGCGTCTCCTCTCCCTACATGCATTCACACTCACCATCTACTACTTCATGGATCTACCCTGAATACACCCACTGTCAACCCTACTAACGCTCTGAAGTCTACTACTAGATACTAACACTAACACCCTGCACTGGCGCAGCTATAACTGCCTTCCCTCTGCCAGCGCTATCTTTCTCTCTCTCCCTCACTTAGCGCAGCCCTCTGGCCTCAGCGCTCTGCCCTTCACATTAGCGCACAAGTGCACCAGCACTTCCACACTCTTTGCGAATAAGCAATCTGCCCGAATGTGAGGCTGGCCAGTCCTTTTGTAGTCTTGGTTTGCACTTCAACTCGTGCCAGCCTCTGTTTCTTGGGTCCTGTTTGGTTCCTGTACCACATCTCCACGGCCTGTCTGCTACTGAATGTCAAGGCCTGGAACCTTCCCGAATTTCCATTGGACTGCTTCTGCTTGGGCCCTTGAGTCATGATTTTTCACTTGTGAACATGACTTTTGACTGTGGACAGTGTCTCTTGCCTGTGGGTCACGACTTTTGCCTGTGACACTACCTTTTACTCGTGGGATGTGTCTCTTCAATATGACTCTTCATTAGGAAACGTGACTCCTGTCTTGAGACATGACTCTTGCTTAGTGAATCTGCCTTTTCACTCGTGGGATGTGACTCTTCTAAATGGCTTTTATTATGACACGTGACTCTTGTCCCTGAGACGTGACTGTTTGCTGGGTGCCTGTTGGACCAGACTGCTAAGGTACCCGATTGTGACTTTTCTGAGTTTGACGAGTTCGTCCTTTTCTTGGCCTGGGCATCTGATCCTGAGATCCGAATTTGGGGTCTGAAACGTGGAAGGCCTTTCATCTGCCTCCTTTCATGGTGTGCAAGTGGGCTGTTTTGGCACATGGGGATGTGGGCAGCTCACGCTC